AGTCAACTATCATATTGAAATCGATCTCGGTTGGCACCTCTAGTATCATGAGTTGTTAACTCAGATATTCGACCAAAATATTTTAAAACTTGGTTGTGTAATCTCGAGAGTACACGACGAATTTATTGAATGGGTGTGTGTGTGTTGCTAGTGTTGGAACGCCCTAAGCCAATTATATGCTGTACTCGAATACATTTTAAAACTCTGATGTAGAGTCAACACCGACAAGGTCATTGCTCAGTAAGACTTAGAATTCATAGACACTCTAGTCGCCCAGATTAAGGTAGGTGTAGCCTTGTTCTTCATCATTCAAAGCACCGATCAATAAAATTATCATGATAAAGTTTATTACCTAAACTGGGTACAGTTTTCATGCGATTCCGATAAGTTTATATATTAGCCTTTCTCTGTTACTCATATATTCGACACACAACGGTCTACAGTCTTGGCCGCGGATAAATTATTGCCAATTTTAGAACGCCATTGTTTTCGTTGTAAACAAAATAACCAGCCATTGACTTGCAGAAAAAGTACCGAAATACAAAGGAAACCGATGATGGTTTGGTTAAAAGATACTTTGAAAAGCGAATAGAAAGTTTGTCAAGTTTCGGCTCTTCTCTGAGACCCAAGTTCGTCCCTCCCTAGAACAAGGAACACTCATCAAACGGACGAACTCTACTTCACAGACAAATCAAGTCTTAAGTGCACAATGAAGGCCGCATTGTGTGGTTCTCTGGAACGCCTCCTATCTTTAGATGCATAGCGTGCTGAAAACAACCTTCTCGGTGTGAGATTCAATAGAATAATTTAACAGATTGTTCACGCACTGATTACCGACGCAATGATTATTCACGCGCTGAGCAAAATGATTAGGAGAAAAAGAAGAACAATGAATTCCAAATGAATTCTTTGTCGTCTGACCTTGCTTTAGTCCCAAGCACTGAATAACACAATTGAGTTTGTCAGAATCATTGCTACTTTCTTACAAGGTCATTCATGATGTTGTTCAAGCAATGTTGCATATCATAACGTCACGTCAGACCACTTCAAGCCTGTGTCACAACGTTGCACCAAGTCACGCTATCGCACCACGCCATGCCGTGTTTCATATCATTGTAGCTGGTCAAATTAGATTATGTCACATCCTACACACAGAAAAGTTGTTTCATGGTATGGAATATAGATATTGAAAAAAAGCATTTGTAATGAGTTTATCTCTCTCTTTTTTGCTTTGTTCTCGTCAACTTACGAATTCAGAACTTCCCACAAATGCCAGTCAAGGAGAAATGGTGATTGATGATGCAGCAAGTAAGTGTGTTTATGATTATACGCGCTATTAAAAAAGAGTCTCTCTAGTTCTCTGGGATTGTAAAATAGATGACTGATAGAGTTATGTACCAAGAGAGAGAAAGGGAAAGTTTGTATTTCTTTACTTGTTTTGTTGTAAATCTTTGAGCAGAGTCCCCGCACACAAGTGAATACCATTTCTTGAAAGAATATAAAAAAAAAAAGCCTTTATGGAAATTCAGATAAACATTATAGAAAGCTTTTGGTTGTTGTTCTTGTTGTTTTTTTTTTAATATAAATACGAGTATATTTTTCTTGCTTTTCAGACCTAGAAATTGCATGCCACAGTGATTTCATTGAAGTGACTGTGGAAAGCAAAAACTACCCCGGCCTTGACACCAATGTAACTCATCTTGAAGATGAGGCGTGTGTGCCCGTTTATAAAGATGACTCCAAGGCTGTATTCAGATTTGGCTTAGAAGAATGCAAGACCAAACACGAGGATGATGGAAAGATGGTGTCATATAGTAACAGGATCATTGCAGTAGTAAGGGATGTGGTTGATGAGGCAGACATCACTCGAAAGAGCACAAGAATACTTCCCTTCAAGTGTTCATACCAAAAGAAGACCCTTCTTTCCAAAGTGTCATATTCTCCTCGTTACGTCCAGGTGGTTACAGACGCAGGTTTGTACTAATACTACGTTTGGTGTTAACACCAAGTTTTTCTTTGTGCTCTACATCTCTCAGCAAATTTATTTAAAAAACAACGGAGAATTTGTTATTTCAAAGTAAAAAATTGCTTATTAACAATTTTTTGTGTGTAACAGACAAGAAATTGACGAGAGACTCGATGATGGAGGATAACTGTTCAATCTTATCATTTTGTTTCCCATTCAGCCGAAATTTATTACCTTTACTTCAAAAGGCGGTGAAAAATTCATTCAATTTTTATTCATCATGACTTGTATTGCTTATACTACTTCAATTTATGCCTTAGTAAGTAGGTACTTGCGCTATGTACTTGCGCTATGTACTTGCGCCTAGTACTTTAGTAAGTACTTGCACAATGGCTGGTCAATTTAGCGGGCCATATTTCATGTACTACAGGGCCTGCTAAACTCAAAAATTTGATTAAATCGAAATCTTCCCCTTCTATTTAAACCCAGAGATATGATAGATATCCTACCAACCTTGTTTATCCAGTCCGTACAATAAGTTATAGTATGATTTATGGCCTGCGTGCCTTGCGCTTTGGCCATAAATTTGAGCGGAAAATACTCGGTCCATAACTTACAGCACGGATCTCGAACTCTTTATTCACTCAGGCCAAATGTTTTTTTCTTCATTCTTATTTCTTTTTTTGATAGAGAATTACGGTAATTTCACTTACCTTATGAACATGTACACTGATAAGGAAAACTCAAAAAGGGTAGAGAAATTCCCGCTCTTGGTTGGTATCAGTCAGCGCTTGTACATCAGCTTGAAGGTGCAATCAGGTGACTCGGATTTAAGCTTGTTCCCTGACGAATGCAAAGCAGCACCTTCGACAGAGTACAATGCTAAACCAGACCATAAAATGATCGAGCAAGGGTAAGTTATGGCCCAACATGCTTTGCTAACGCAACATTTGTAATGGAATAGGTGCGGTGTGCCCTCGCAAAAATGACAGTGTACGGATTGTCTGAAAACATGTCAATCAGTCTGAAACAGTGCAGCGAGTTAAAATTGACGGCGTAATCGTTAAAAACAATGGAATAAATTATTGTGAATTTCGAAATATAGCAACAATCTCTTGTGTTTGGAAAATTTATTTTTACATATTCATTGTAAATCGCACTTGAAATCATTTGTCTAACATGAACCACTTTTGGGGCGGCTAAGGACAATTTCACTGTTAATATTTGGTGCATATACAAAACATCAAAAAGGTTTGATTACTCGTTAATGTTTTGTTGACGATGAAACTGAATTAGCGGAAAAGAGAAGATTAACTTTTGGCCTCGTTACACTCACACCCTGATTGGAACTGTACTCACTCACTTAGGTTTACAAAATTTTCAAACAATAATGGTTTTAACATCGCGCATGTTCGCATTTCATCGTGAGATTGACAGTAACAAAATTTTTGCCAATGTCAACTCCTTCTAGCTGCCCACGTGACAGATACTTAGAGTACGAATACGAAAAATCAGCCTATCAGAACTTCAGCTTTGTGGCCTTTCGTTTTAAGAAAGGATACGACGACGTTTACATTCACTGCAAGCTGACTGTCTGTCGGTCAGACGACGAGAAGTCTAAATGTGATTCGGGATGTCAAGAAGAGGGAAATCAGTCCAGGAGAAAGAGGAATATCCACGACGAATATCGTACTGAACTGTACGTCGGACCAATCAAAATGACTAATGAACAAGATAAAGGTGAGTTAATAAAATTTAAAGTTTTAGCCGGCGTCGTTGGAGTTTTATTGAGTGCTAAATGAAAAAAACAAAACAAAACAGAAACAAACAGACAAAAAATAAAAACAAGCAAAACATTGGCGTCGGAGCCACCAATCTGTCCCAATCCTCTTACAGCTTTGCCACTGAACGCCACAAAGTGAAAACAAAAATTTACCTAGACAAGCTAGTAAATACCTGTATATATCTTATGGGCTTTGAAAAGGGATAAATATATGAAATCTCTCATAGTGTAAAAGACAGCATAGTTTGCAGATAACCTCGTTGAAAAATAACTGGGTTTGTTTCATGACAATGTTACTCTCGGTCTCATTTCTGTGCACAGGCTTGGCAACTTGGTATTTTGACTCATAAGGAACTGGTACAGGAGAAGAAAAGGGCGAGAAAATTAGGGGGGAGCAAGGAAGGTCGGGGCGGTTAAAAGGAACATGCACCTTGACATTCCAAATGTTACTTTATTTTTGTTTAACAAGCTAATTCGTGTGCCAGAAATAAAGGATAATTCAACTGTTCTTTTAGTGTATTCAAAAACTTGAGTAAATCTTTGTTTGAAATATTTGCCGCCAAGATTTCTACAATTCTCTTTTTTTTTTTCAATAGTTGTCATCATTTTTGTTTTCAGCCATGAAATCAGGTGAAACTCCAACCATAATCAAGGAAAAATCCAAGACGGTCTTGTTGGTTGGAGTGTTGGCGGGGGTCTTGGGTACTATATCTCTGGGGCTTGTTGGAGCACTCATTATTGTGACCCGACGTGGCCGTCATTCAGAAACTGGGGCCACTTTGCTTGTTCAAGACGACTAAAGATTTCCGACATGTGGCTTAAAATTGTGTAGATTGGTAGAGTGCGTTTCTCAATCAGTGATCTCGTAAACAACTTTTAGTGATTTAGCCACAGATTCCATTTGAAACGAGACAGTTTTCTTTTTTGTAATTTCTCGGAATCATGCAAGCATAAACTTGAAATCATGCATGCGTAGGTTTAGACAATAAAGTCACTTTGAGCGAGTGAATTGGCCATCGTAAAAGGATTTTAAAGTTGAAGTTTCGATCATTATCCCTTCGTCAGAGCGAGTCCAAAACGCTGGAAAGTCAGTTTAAAAATCCCTTTGCGATGGTCATTTCACATTACCGACTCAGATGACAAAACAAACTTATCTCACTTGCAACTATTTTTGAAGACTGATAGAGGGTCTTCTCACTCGTGTATCGTAGTCATTTCATTTCACGAAAGTAGAGGGGTGAGCGACATGCTTTTTTGTCTAGTCCTAGTCGCGTCAACAGCAAATACCGTAAGAACATCTGTGCCGCACGTGACAGAACTCAGTGAAAAAGTAAAGTTCAAACTGGTTTGCATATTTTGGTTTATTTTGTTTTAGTAAATTTGCATAATCTTGCAATCCACATGGTGTGGCGTCATCGCTTTAAATGAATTTTTAGTCGCAAGAAATCACTCCATGCTGGATCATTCAATCACCTTCACAATGAGAGTTTTTCATGCTCAGCGCTTGAAGAAGAGTACATGCCCTCTTTTCCTTTGTGTTGTGCTGCTGTTGACGCTTGAAGAAGGTGGGTAGCCAACGAAACACAGCTGAACAAAGTTTCCGTGAGCGACAAGTACTGCTTCAAGTCTATTGCTTATAGTCTTAGTTGTACTTAGAATAAAAAACACCGCATTTCAGCGATAAAAGGGTTTAATGTCGCAGACCGCAAGGCATTCGCTTAGTAAAAAGTAGCGCATAAATGCTGGCAATTATAGCAGAACCTCATAAACTCAATTCAGAAGAGAAAGGTAAAATGAAACGAAGAGAGAGGTAAAATGAAACGAGTAAGCGGAGATTCGAGTTGCAATTTAAGGTTTGGTGCTAAATTTATAATTAATCATTAAACCTGTAGATAATCAGTAAGGGATCACGTACCATTCTTGCACAGTCTGCAGTGATTTTCTTACATTCAATTGTTCTATAAGCTTTGAAAAGAAGATATAGTTTGGGAAGTTCAGCCGCTAAATTTATGAAGCATTCATAAATGGTTTCAGAAAGATTGATGTGTCAGTAAGCTTTGTTGTAACACTGGCGTTTACGATCGACGTTTACAAAGTTTGAGTTATAGGAAAAATCTGAGCCAAGGGTAAACAAAATTGGATGAAATTAACTGGGAGTTCGAGACAGCTGAGTTTTCGAGTTTGTACTATGGGAGAATTCAGGTACCACTGATTACATTTTAGATAACATGTGTTCGTATCTGCCATGAGGAGCTTTGGCCCCGAAAAAAATTCGCAGCATGCATTCTACGGAGGCGCTATATTTCTGTCATCAGTGTAGAGAATTACATCAACGTTTGCGTCGGTAGGTGTCTATGCAGTTACTTAAACCTGTTGATTATAAGTTAAAGGTTCACCTAATATGTAATACTGCATCTATGCTCGAATTTCAATTACGAAAACACAAGAAATCTGGCATTGAATTCACTTGGCGCGATCTTATCATGGAGGCTGAAGTCTTCGATCGATCGGCTGAGCTTTCTATAGTTACGGGATCCAATCTCGACCCCAAATAGTCTTGGTATGTGCTAACGAAAAGTTAATGTGAAATCAGGCCGAAAGCTTTTGTAAAGAATGAATTGTTTCGTCGATTCCGCGATGACTGCAATACGTTCTGTCCCGCCAGCAGGTCTCAAGCGCGCCAACAAAAGCTGATCGTTCAACGCCAGGTAACCAAACAACATGCATGTTATATCTTCAAGTGGTCTCTGTGCCGGACTAATTAGACAGGGATAAATCCGGTGGATGGATTCACGAGGTCTCAAAACATAATCTTGTTGTTGATGCGGTAAATCAAATCGCCCTCGACCGTACACTTAAGGCGGGAAATGCCTCCAGTCGAAATATCATGTGAAATTCGCATCCACATATGACAACATCACCATGGAGGAACGGAACATCATAATCCACGCTAAGAAATCAACACTCATACACAAACGGCAACCCTGGTAAAAGAAAGGAGACACGACATTTGACGTCACGATGGGCAGCTACGACGGCGCCGAAACGTGCGACCTAGTAGGAAGTTTCCTTCTTTCACAGCTACAAGACCTCAATATCAACGTAGGACTCTACAGAGACGACGGACTAGCCACCACCAACACCGCGTCGAGAGACACCGAAAACATAAAGAAGGAAATTTGCCGTATCTTCAACCGCAACGGACTACGTATCACCATCGAAGCAAACAAAAAGATTATCAACTTCCTAGACGTCACTTTAAACCTAAACAACAGCACCTACCAGCCCTACACAAAGCCTAACACCACACTGTGGCGTTGTTTATAGGAAGAACAAGACACACACAGGTGAAGTAACACAGGTCTATTTAATCGATGTCCGACGAACTCTACAAAACCGGAAAGCATGGTCTCTAAAGTTTTGTTGCCATGGTAGTTATGACGTAAATGCGGACCGGAAGTAAATAGAACGATAACATCGATATCGTTACACACACTACAGTACGTACACCGCGAGAGCAATCATCCACCGATCACCACAAAGAACATACCTGCCGGCATCAACAAACGACTTTCATCCCTTTCATCAGACAAAGCTTCATTCGACAAAGCCGCCCCCCCGTACCAGAAAGCACTAGACGAAGGCGGATATCAATACACCCTACACTACGAACCCACCACGACTGCCAAACGCAAAAAAAGGCAGCGAAGCAACATCCTCTGGTACAACCCTCCATTTAGCAAGAACGTCAGCACCAATATCGGACACAAATTCCTCAGCCTAATCGACAAACATTTCCCTAAGGATCACAGCCTCCGCAAGATATTTAACCGCAACACCATCAAAATCAGTTACAGCTGTATGAACAACACCAAACAGGTCATCGACAACCACAACAAACGCATCTTACACTCGTCCCACTCACCTTACACAAAAGACAACAAAGACGGCACGGGAACCAACAAAACATGCAACTGCCGACAAAAGAACAATTGCCCGCTCAATGGTAACTGCCTTCAATCCTCAGTCGTTTATCAAGCCACCGTCACACGGAACGACAACAACACCTCTGAAACATACATTGGACTCACAGAAACCGACTTCAAAACAAGACACAGAAATCACACCCCATCATTCCGCCACGCCAAGCACAAAAACTCTACCGAACTTAGCAAACACATCTGGACACTCAAGAACGACAACATTGACTACTCTATTTCATGGCGCGTCTTATCATCTAACTCTCCCTACAGCAGCTCCAGTAAAAGATGCAACCTATGCCTAAAAGAGAAATTCCTGATAATTTACCGACCCGACCTCTCATCACTAAATAAGCGTTACGAACTCGCATCTTCATGCCGACACAGAAACAAAGCGTTGCTACGCAACAGCTGAACTTTAAAGTTTTTAAGTTTACCGCGTATTATGTAAATTTTCCTAGTATATAAACGATAGTCACATGAATATTCTTTCATTAAACCCCTGAAGAGTGAAGCGATTCACGAAACAGGCTTGTCGGGATATGTAGTTGCGTCGTTTTTTCCTCTCATAATATTTATTCTGCTCTGCTTCAACGTACTGAGCACTGTTCCACGCGAAAATCGACTTGCAGACTTCCTATATATATATCTATATATATATATATTTTTTATACATATATATCTACATAAAAACATATATTTATACAAGTTGTGGAAGCGATTTTTAAAATCTTTGAATTAAAATATTTCCAACGAGCCCACCACATTATCAACATTTACATCATCATTATTATTACTGTCATCATTATTGAATTTCAGAAACTCAAATACTTTTTGGACTTAAATTTTTCAAATACTTTTCAATTTTCTTCCAACGCTTTTTCTCCCAATCAAAGATTAGTACCTGAATAACAAAAACGTCTCATCTTATTTTCCTATTTTTGTCTTTCTTTCCTTTTTAGTGGTAAATAAAGCAAATGCCTTACAAATGATTACTCAACCGAATAAAACGATAGTGTCCTTCATTGGATCTAATCAAACCTTTTCTTGGAATTTTCTTCTCACTGAGGAGGAGAAAGCTAAAGAGTTGAAAGTTACCTTTGGTCATTGGAGCAAAGAATATAGCATGGTTTTAGGCGACCAGTTGGTAACATTTGTTCACAATTCGACAGCGAAGGAAACAGTATATAAAGGAAATGCCTCAATTGCAAGGCGTTTAAACTGGGTGGGAGACATGGCCCGTGGCTTCGTGGCTTTCCAACTTACTGATGTTCAAGCGCACGATTCTTCTGATTATGGAATCCGGTTCCGTGTGGATGGTTTTCCACCAGAGACTGAAGAGAGTGGGTTCACTCTCTCTACGCAGGTGAAAATGTTTTATGCTTTCAAAATTAGGGACCAAACATCATTAATCACATAAGGTGTCGGGGGATTTGGGGGGGGGGGGGGAGCCCTGATTTTAGAGGGAATAGAGCGGGATCAATCGTCTCCAACAGAGTTTTCAGGTGGATTATAGCAAACTTACTGCCGATGATGAGGGGGATCTTAAGAATACTACAGAGCCTTAAAGGGGGATCAGATTAATTTGGCTGTGACACAACAAAATTTCCCCCCTCCCCCTCCCGTCCCCCTTCCCAGCCGATCAGCTGATGAATAATGTATGGTTACTCAGTTGACCGCGTTTTATACAAGAACTTGTTCTTTACATCCCATCTTTAAAAAAAACCTCTCTCTAAAAAAAACCTCCCTCGAAGAGTCAGAAATATGTGTCCCAACAATAGAAAAACAATCAAATATATGCAAACAAACAGAAAAGCAAAATGCAAAATAATAAATGAATAAATAACAAACAAGTGAATAAAGTAAACATACAAAAGCTGAAATATTGTACGTGTCTTTTGACGTTGGTTGTCAATGTGCCAGAATCAACCAGTCATGTAGCATGAATAATGGAGAAATCTTAAAATGTATAAATAAAATATGTTCTTAAAAATTCCCAAATACTACTTGGAATATCCAAATCTACGAGCAAACTTTCTCTTTCTTATATCATGTTACTCATGGGTAGGTTTCTTCATGGATAGTTTAGCTGTGGAATTATAGTTTAAAAGAATTTTCTATATTTTTGTAGGATCCTCCTTCGATACCGACAAGGACGCCAGGTAAGTGATTTCTTGAGCATAAACACAAAATCATCGAGGTCATATCATAAAAGCCTGGAGTAATCTTGTTCTCATTTGCATAATGATGAATTAAGCAGAATTGTAGACCACGAGCAATCCCTTCTTTTTTAGCGAAATCCATCGCGTGAGCAAGAAAATAGCCATAAAAAAACATTTATGCTGGTGCGTTGCGTGGAACTTCGTATACCTCACTCCCAGAGATCTGCACAGCGCGCTAAAAGAAAATTCTTTATAGTTAATGTTTTTCACTCGCTCGACGGATTTCACCGGAAAGGATAGACTCCTCGCAGTCTAGCAAAGGGCACGCTTCTTCTGTTTTATCGTAGGGATCGGACTTACTAAATGTAATGATATGATTTCATATTGTACACTAAAGATTATGACGTGACGCAAGTTTATGTTATGTGACGTTATGTGAACTGATGTTGATTAGCAAAATCCCTGTTAATGTAGAACCCCAAGACGTTACTATCAAGATAGTGGAAGGTGACGTCCTCAACATCACGTGTCGCACCTTAATGTACGGACGTTCTTCGGTGTCATGGCTGAAAGATAACAAACTTATTGAGAATGAAGACGAAAAGACTCTCTTCCTTGGAAATGTCAGCAGATCGCAAGCAGGAGAGTACATTTGTGTGTCGCTGTCACCATATGGAAATCACAGTTCACCAGTTACTACCGTTGATGTGTTATGTGAGTTCAGTTCAAAGTAATAAAAATCTTTAGGTCTGCGAAACTTAAGGGGCCGGTCATTTACACGAAGTCTAGCCTTAACCTCGGTTTTACGCAATCCGAGGGCCTCGGGCTTTCTCTATAAGAGGTTTGATTTGATTAAATAAAAGTCTCTCCATTGTAAGCTTTTATTCATCTTGACGCTGTTCACAATGATAAATGTTTTGATAAAAGGTTCGGCTTAAATAAGGATTTTTTAGAACGCAGTTTTGTTAACCAGCGATTAAGCTTTGTTTTACAAACCAACCTTTCGGGTTTTGTTAATCGGATATGATTTCAAGTACTTTTGATTCCCTATTCGGCCACGTATCCCAATAGATCCACGATCCTGCTTGAAGGGTAAGGTAAATCCTAAATATTAACACACGCAAAATAAATTATCTTTACAATGCTAGAGTAGAAAATGACAACCAAAAATACTTGTTTTATTTTTTTTTATTGCACTTCTTAAAAATCTGGGCTTGAGCAGAAAATTTTTGAGAAGGGGGGGGAAGGGTTGGGTGGGGTAAAGGCAAACGCATGAGCTTTGGCTGAAAGGGCAGGGACAGGACAAGTATTTTTTTACTAAAGCCCCCTCAGCCCCTCCCTCTACGTGGTCCCTGTCAATTAGTTACTGGATCATTCTCTTTTCTCGGTTTTGAAAAAGTAAAAGTGGGCTTATATCAAACGAAGCAGGTTTTTCTAACCATGATAAAATTTACACTTAGACCCTCCAAAAATACAAACCGGTGATGAGCAAGTATTGGTGGAGTTATTGAGAGGGCATTCCACGCCGCTTACATGTATAGCCTCTGGAAATCCATCCCCGGTATTAAGTTGGCACAGGCAAAGAGATGGGATCAGCGAGACATTTAAAAATCCCTCGAACTCAAGCTCTCTGGTAGTCACCCCTATAAATGACACAGACTTTACAAGTTACACGTGCATAGCAACAAACAAAATGGGATCGGATCAGGTGACATTTATATTGAAGGAAAAAGGTTGGTGATAGTTTAGTCATAATTCTTCTTTGACTTTGTAACCTTAAACGTTAGAGCAGCAGCAATCAGAGAAACGAACGAACTAAGGACTCACTAAATGATTAACTGACTGACTGACTAACTAATTGAGTGACTGATTGACTGACTGACTAATTGAGTGACTGACTGACCGACTGATTGACTGACTGCCTGATTGATTGATTGACTGATTTACTGACTAATTGACTGACTGACTGACTGGTTGACTGACTGACGGACTAATTGAATAACTGACTGACTGGGTAACTGACTAACTGACTGACCGACTGACTAACTGAATGACTGCCTGACTGAGTAACTGAATAATTGACTGACTGACTGACTGGCTGACTGACAAACTGAATGACGGACTGACTAACTGACCGACTGGCTGACTAACTAACTGAATGAATAACTGACTGATAAACTAAATGAATGACTGACTGGCTGACCGACTGACCAACTGAATAACTGATTGACTGACCGACTGACTGACAGACTAGCTGTAGAACCAAACAATCCACTGACTGGATGGCCCTCCGACTAACCCACCAACCCACTGTCTGACTGACCGACTGACTCCCTGACTGATCTACCCACTCACCCACTAAGGGACGAACAATTCAGAAATACAATGATCAAAAGAATAAGTTACTTACCTTTATATCGAGTGGATAAATTAATAAATTAGCGAACGAGAAAAGGAACTGGCAAAGGATAGTATAATCAGCTAACCGAGTCTTTTCTAAATATTACCTGAGCAACTGCATGAATATTCCATCAACTCTGGTATTGCTGAGATTTTTTAATCAAAGGAAGCATCATTGTCGAGTGGCGAGTTGGTTGGATTCATTCTCCAAATGTCCAGGGTTCGAGCCTCGCTCTGACTTAAAGGTACATTTCTTCCTGATAGACCCGAGTCCATCTCTTCAACCCCGTTTGCCAGTTCGCCACCACCCGGCAGCTTTGCTTCCTACCGGAGAGAGTTTTGTAGTTGTGTATGATCGTCTGAGTGGAATTCCTATATAATAAGAAGCTGAGTTCTTCTACTATAAATAAAACAGTTTTGATTACTGCTAAATTCTTTCCGATGTTTACCATAACGACCACAACGTAGAATTTTCTGACAAAAAACGCACCTACGTGCATAGGAAATCATCAAGATCTTTTGGCGTACGGAGAATACACGCGAACTGATATTGTGCTGGTTTTCAGTAATTTGACCGATTTTATGTCCATTTTAAATCGCATCCCATGTCATTCATTTTCTTAGCTGACAAGCCAGCAAGCGAATCAGGAACTCAAGATCCAGGTACAAGCCATCTCGATGATAGAGCTGTTGTTTTCATCCACGAACTTGGTTTCAGTTGATCTAATATTGCTGTGTGAAGGATATATTTTCTCTATCGTATTTAGTTTCTCAATCAGCTCTTCATAAAATCATAAAAATGCTGACGACGATTTCTTTTCCCCGAGCTTTTAACTTCATGTACTCCACATTGTAAATAAGAGTACTTTCTTAGTCCAGAGAAATATCATACAAATCTTTGTAGGAGAAAATTCTACTCGTCTCTTGATGAAACCCTTGCATTTTTCAATTGTATCGTTTCCTATCAAATCGAATCATTCTATTTTCTTTCTTAGGTCAAACTAGAATGAGCGGCCAGGGCCACAGCAGCTTAGTGATGTACATGTGCGTTGGTGCTGGAATTGCTGTGCTTGCTGTTAGTTTGGTAATGGCGTATGTTTACTGGCGAAAACAGCGGGGAAACTCGAAGAATTGCTGCACACGTAGCATTGAACGAGACGGGGCCGAAAGAATCCCTTTAGGTCCACAAGATGAGGACACTAAAACAACTGAGAGTTTGCAGGCCTAGAGATACGTTCAAAGGTGGGGCTGGAAACTAGCCGTGGAACCATTTTTCAATTTTCCAGGAGGTTAAAGGTGTTAGATGATAAAATTACAATTATAGTTAATCTACAATGACGTAAGGGTTTCCTGTATTGGTGTTGGAAAGAAAAGTAATGGAAATGTTATTTTATTCTAAGTCATTTAATGTAAATTATAAAAAGGGGAGGTTGATTACTTCGTACTCCTTCTTGGTGGTCTCATCTTAAGGGTCGAGTTTGATCACGTTCTTCTTGTGAGTTTGGCCACGTTCTCCTAGTGAGTTTAATCACGTTTTCTTCGTTGTGATCGTAAGGTTGACATGGAACTCGTGATAAGCCATGTTCTTAAATAAGTTAATTTGTTAGTCCAGGAAGAGTAAATCTCCCTGGTAATAGGTCGTGTTCGACACCTTCGTGTTCCCAGAGGTAATTTAAGGGTAAACAGGTGATGCCCCTCATGTTTCGCAACAAGAAGCAATTTGGGGGCGGTACTTGTGAGCGCCTTTCTTCTTTAACTCTTGTGACCAAGATGTTGTTATGTAACAATCTTTGAAGGTGATTTTCTCTTAAGATACACTTTCAGGTATAAATAATACTCTACACCAAGGTTATTTGTAATTTTTATATTGCCGATCTCGTTTCTGTTCTGGCCGATCTCGACCGTAAAGATATGAAAATTAGGGAAGAAGTTGATTTTGTAACTGCGTAGACAACCCTAAGGTGCTAACTCAGTATGTGGGAACTATAATACGTAGTCAAGCGTGATTCGCTAGTTGAGATGGTACGATGACGACTCAAGAAGATTGACGGCTTAGAAATGTCATCCACAGTGTCACCTTTATAAGCGGAGACTCTAGTTTTCCCTGTTATATTGAAGCTAGTCCCCATTGTAACAACTTAAGAAGAAAAGTAATTAAAGAAGGATCAACCAAACCACAAACGAGTGTTAGAGAAATTAATTCTAACAAAGGAGCCATTGGTGATATTTATGTTGTTTGGTCTGTGCATACTACGCGTGTATTAGCCTTCATTGCATTTCGTTCCTTATTTAACTTATCATATCGTTTTTCTTTGACGAATGACTCGATAGTATTCTAAAATTGGGGCCATATAATCAATAAATTCATAAAAAAAAGTACATCAAGACAGAACCCCAATCGTGTGCGAGGAAAAATAGGTAGTCCCCCTAGCTAATCCAACCATTAAGCTTTGCACGAAGTCTTTTTTTATTGGGTGTGTATACCGTGTTTAGCTCTCACTTTGGGAGGTTGGTGGAGTTTTCATGCGTGATGGATGATCAGGGCAAAGCATGTTCCTTGACTCACGAGTTTAATGAAAGAGGGGCATGCCTCATGATCACCAATTGAAAAGGGTGACTTGACTTCCAAATTCTACGTTTCCCGACAGTTATTTGTGTTAAGGCCGTTGCACACGACTCAGCCTCTCACCCTTAAGAAGACCATTAATTTGTAAGTCACGTGAGACACCTTTCATTTAATTTTCTGTCCATTGTTAGTTACAATGAATCCATGATTTGAAAATTACGAGAGGTAAAGAAAATAAGTAGGAGAATGAAAATAGTGAAAATACTAAAGAAATCTTGTAAATATGCTAAGAAAAATTGAATAAAGGAAAATATTGAGTAGTACAGTACGGATCATGATAAATGATATATTTGGGTGGCAGGCTGCCAGAAACCACAAGCCTTTTACAAGGAGCTTCCCAAGGGAATGAGAACAAAAATGACATCGATTATGTGATATGATATAATTATATGATGTGATCACATTACATTACTAATGTAGAAGAAACATTAATAGCTTCAGTAAACATGAAAGTTGGGTCTACGAAGTTGTAAATTGTATCAAACTTATTCATTGGTTCGAAAAGCCCGCGGTTTTTTTGTTCTTCCAATTTGTCTGATATCCAGAAAATTCGGAAGTTTTCTTCTAAGCTGCCCGCCCAGAAATGAAGGGTATTTTTGCTCGACGGTGAGAAAATGTAATGGAAGAAAAGGGTAAAAAATGCACGCAGCGATCTTGAAAGGTATTTTGGGTATCTGTTAATCAACGAATTTTAGTACGCAAAATAAGTAGATAAATTGATCAAACTCGCGATGCCTCGCCCTTATATTGACTTTTTCATAGATTTCCCTGAAATCATTTGGTCAAGGTAAAGGAACGGTGATCTGAAATCTATCCATGATACCTTTCAGGGTATACCAATCGGATCGCGCAAATGAAGCGTACCTTTCAATCATGAAGAGGTAGGTAATGTATACGCTGTCTAATAAAGCTATCCATTCAATTAAAAGCATGGCAAAAGCAGTGTGCTATCAAAGCTCTGATAATATACGTGAACAAATTTTAGCATGCTCGCATCTTGACAAAGATAATGTCCGCGAACAAATATCCGTGCATTAATTGCGCCAAATGAAGGCTATTGCCCATAAATTGGGAAAACTCTATGTTAGGTGCTTGCTAGCCTCATCCAAACTGTCATATTCGGATATATTGCCATTATGGAAAACAAGAATCTTGTCACAGTCCTGAATAGTGTGTAATCGATGCGCTATAATGATGACTGTGGAGTTCTTGAGCATCTTGCCTACTACCTTCCAAATGGTTTGTTCTGTATCTGGATCCACGTTCGCAGTAGGCTCGTCCAAGATGACGATTTGATTTCGTTGCAACAGCACACGGGCCAAACAAATCAGCTGCCGCTCTCCGACACTTACATTCGACCCATGTTCTAATAACTCATAATTCAGCTGTCCATCGAGCCTTTCTACAAAGTCTCTCATCTGCACATCCTCTAGCACTTGCCACAGATCAGCATCTTCGAACCGCTCTTCGAAATCAAGATTTTTCCGCAAAGGGCCACCAAAGATGACGGGGTCTTGGCCAAGGATGGATATGAATCGTCTAGCCGCCTGTATGTTGAGATCTTTCAATCCAATGCCGTCAACTATTACTTGTCCGTTTGGGTCAGGCATGCGCATAAGACCCGCAACAATTGATGATTTCCCGGCTCCTGTACGTCCCGCCACTCCGATCTTTGCACCTCCTTTAATTGACAGATTGATGCCCTTCAGCACTTGCGGACCGCCAGGATAGTACGTCAGTGAAAAGTCTTGGAATGTGATATTTCCTTCGCTTGGCCATCGCGCCGGTGGAAGTCGTTCCTGTTTGTATCCGGGCTCAGGATCAATCTTGGTGTATGCCATCACTTGTTCCACTGACGTCATAAAAGTCTCGACATCTGCTAATTCTCTGACAGTGAGTTCAGTTATGGCAACAGTCTGGATGATGTAAGCAAGAGATAGTCCCGCAAAAGCTGAAAGGCGAAATAGAAACGACACATGAATCTCCTCAGAAAAAATACCCTTGTATTTTTTAGTTGATTCTACATCTATTTGAGTTTCGTCTTTATTGAAAGATTAGCTTTTGCCTTTTGATGCTTCTGGTATGTGGCGTTATACTAAGGATAATGGCGTGAGACAAATTAAATGTGATTTGAGGTTTATAGGTAGATCTTATTTTACAGAACTTTTCTAAAATGGCGAGGGAAATCGGGCCAACATTAGCTGACAACCCAGAATATTATAAGGATGACTAATTGATTCAGAAAACCACCAGGTGTCACCTGGTATTGTTCTTACGAAGAATGCCAAATAGCTTGTCAAGGCTGTCAACTCACTGACAAGGAGAGGTTCTTTGTATACGACAAATAATGCCTGCTTGGATCGTCAAGATCAAGGAAACCTGCCTCTATACTTGCTAAAGGCCCTTGACCTGAACACCATTATTACGGTAGTGGATCTGGAGCAACTTCAGAATACCCCGCAACTTATTTACATGTCATTGAATAAGAATAGCGTCTATTGTGTTATGCCTCGATCTTCAAAGCCTCCCGACACATGTAAATGAGTTGCGGGGTATTCTGAAGTTTAGCCGTGGATCTCTTTCCATACCATTCCTTGCAATTTTGATTTGAATTGAATATACTGAATTTAGCAATCAAAATTATGTGCGAATTTAGGCATAGTTCAACTAGTGCTATATGTCCTCAATCAATGTCAGCCGCCTGCGTCCCTAGGGTAATGACACAAGATTAGCTTTTGAGGTGCTATGGCGCACATTTATATCAAATCTGGATACCGTTGTTATTGTTGTTGTTGCTTGTCGTTTTCTCATCGTTCTTCAGTTTATGCCTTATCTTCTGTTATCAACAGCATTAACCTAGGTAAACTAGTTATCCATGAGATAACATCAATTTTTCTTCAAAAAAATCTTTCACAAAGGAGGCTGGTAATAGAATGTGCACGTGGAATTTTATGATTCAAAAGAACCATGGAACGTGGACCAAGTTTTGACACCTGGTTTCCTGCGAGACCAAAAGTAAACAGTTTTACTCACCGGCATCCTGTGACATCAATATCGATGCGAGAGCCACTACGGTCACTAATAGGCAGGACAGAAGACTCAGGCGGACACAAAGCCATCTCGCGCCTTGTTTCCACGTGACACCAGCCTGATTGTGGAGATCTTGATGCCTTTGGGGAAAAAATTATTTGAAGTTAACCACTACCAGCAAACCATTTCAATGGCTGAAAATTTAAATGATGTTAATAATGCTGTAGTTTTTTTCGTTATAATAACAAAGTTAGTGATAATGATAATACTAATAATAATAATATCAATAATATCTCCCTATCCCTAGTGCATACAAAGTTTGGTTCAAATCTACTTTTTCGTGTGTGAATCAAATTTCAGTGTGTCCTACCCTCTTTAGCTTGGCAATGTTAATTCAAGAGATCTGAGAGATAACGTATGCATAAGATGAAATTGGAAGCGAGCTGAAAAAATCAGGAACAAAAAAATCAAACTTTACGGGAGTACAATTTATTAAGCTAATAGTTTGAAATGTCTTATGGAGGGAATTTTGCTTATCTGCGCCCGCAGGATGTCATTTATCGGCCGGGTTTTTATCTTTTTTGCTTTTATGGTATGTTTTTTTAAGTCTATCCTATACAATTTTTCTGTCTATTCATTTTTTTTAAATCTTCATTTCATTTTTATCATTTGTTATGTTTTTGAAAAGAAAACCTCGCTGCACGTGGCTCCTATCCTAAGACTTAGGCGCACTGTTCCCCCGTTCCATTGCTCGACAAGACTGACATGAATATCTGAAATGTATCTGCAACATGTACCAAAAATATCAAACATGTACCTGTGAAACTTATCCTCAAAAGCTCTCTGTCTGCTTCTTGTTCTAATAGTATCCAGGCCATTCATGGTTTCCGCTAAATGAGACAAGACCGGACTACGAGATGCTACCTCTAATCTTTTCAGGTCTCTAGATGTCTTAAGGTAATATCTCGTGATAAAACCGACCAGGACAGCAACCGGTAAAAAGACGATCAGAAGCCAGGGATTTGCGACGATTGGTAGAGTAAACGTGGTCAAAAGTAGCAGCGACAGCTGTATCGAGAGTAGAAACTTTTGGGGAAGTATTTCATCCATACATCCGATGTCCTCGGAGAATCTGTTGAGAATTCTACCCAAGGGATTAGAATCAAAGAAAAGAACTGGCGCTCGTAGGACAGCTATCACCATATTGTCATGAAGTCTTTCAGTACATTTTAAGCTCACTAACAAGAACACAGCTGCTCTTACGTAGATAAAAATGACGGACGCAAAAACTAAACAACCATAAATGATAAGTGTGCTCTTGTATCGCTGCTCCCCTGGTGGTCTCTTCACCAAAAACGCCAGCCACACATTTGGAGCCACAAGAATTCCTGGGAAAGAAAATGGGAGAATCGTTTGAAGCCAGATCGAGTAGTGTTGATGTAATGCATTCTCTATTGGCATCAAAATGGCTTTTTAAGAAAGTAAGTTTTAATATTTACTTAACCACAATACATTTTTTGCCTTCTAAGAAGGATAGGTACAAGGCTACACTCCTCCATAAACATGAGCTTGCTTTTTCGAAAGACAAAACTGACTGAACTGGCTTACCCTGGGCAACAAGAAAAAAACAAATTGTTGCAATGATCGGTAAGGTACTAATTCCGCTTCTAAAGTAGCTCCAGTACAGCTTAGATGACACATTTCCACTAAAGCGACCTTCCTCAGAAATTTCCATATCCTTTCCTCTACTGGTTAGTTGTACCATTCCTTCCTCTCCCTTTTTGCTCTTTTCCATGTTAGCGCTGTCAGACTTTAGTTCTTTCGGATCATTGTGGAACTGTGTAACAGTGCCGCCATTTAGAATGCATCTTTCTTGAAGCTCCGAAAATTTACCCTTTCCAAGTAATTTACCTCGGTACAGCACAATCACTTGGTCGGCTTCTTTTAAGTGTTCCTCTTGGTGAGCAGCTATCAATCGTGTTTTGTTTCCTAACAGCCCCATGATGCAGTTTTTCATGATATGTTGGCCAACTTTCAAATCCACCGCACTTAGAGGATCATCTAACAAATACAGATCTACATCTAGGTATATCGCCCGCGCCAAACTAATTCTTGCGCGCTGACCTCCACTCAGAGTGGCACCTCGCTCACCAACAAATGTTTGGTCACCGTTAGGAAACCTCCCAATGTCTTCTACAAGGGCGCAAACCTCGGTTGTTCTAGCGTAC